GCAGGGACGTCACGTGACGGGTAACGGGTTAAATGCCCTCAGTGTATGGAAAGCGTGCGCTTGGCCGCCTCAAAGATTTGGCCCGATTAACATCCAGAGGGCACCAAGTAAAACACAGCCCCGTGAGTTGGCCTTATGAGCCAGTGGCAGTGTGAGCCCAGCGTGTGTAACGTGCAGTGGTGGCTAGCTCCACCAGAGCTTATGAGCCCATTGGCCCCGCAGTGGTATCTGTAGAGCAATCTAACACACGGCGAGTCTTTGGTGCTAACAGAGAGCTCCTGTGACGTAGCATCACAGCACCTGAGGTAGCCGCTTCACCAAACACTTCCTTGAGCCTGCCAGGAATGCCCGTTAGGCAGCTGGAGCAGCAGGCTGACCCCAGACGACCTAACGCACTGACCACGCTTCAGGCGGTACAAGTCGGGTGCGGGTGACCCGTCATGCCGTTCAACAACATTGTCTTTAACGATCGCAGAGCCTTTGCGGAAGGTCACACACGCCGTGCGCACGAGGTGGACGCATGGCTTGTCCGCGATGGATCGGGCCACGGAGCTGCGTATTGCCCATGGCCAAAACACCTATTGTTTTTTTGTGAGTAGACATTGCGTGTGTAGTAAAGGGTGTGTTTGGAGGGTGTTGCATGCACTTGGCGGCATTGCGCTACGTGCATCACTATAATACGCTCCATACACGTAATCACTACGCAACCACCTAAAATAAGCATAAAATCCAGGCCGGGTGAAGTACATCTAGGTGGGTCAGCATTTAATGTGACCAAAAATTGTCATTTTTTATCACCAACCACGAGTCCATCATAGGCTAGCAAAATAAATCCTGAACAATGAAACAACAACCACGCTTCACGAGAGCCCATAGTGGTACGTGCTTTCTTATATAGTGTATCTGAACGAATTGTTTTTTCCGAAATAATCCTACAACACACACACTAGTGACAGCTGGCGAATGATCCGTTCCACATTCCACAGCATATATGGTGACTGACAGATGCATTGATTGGCCGGTGCATGTGTGCGTACGCGGATCGTCTGTCGGGATGGCATGGCTGACATGGACCAGGTTCGGTAAACAATCAGCACGCGATCAGCCCCGCCGGAGGGCAGCCCGCAACCGCGGACTAACCGATGTTCGGCGTGGGGATGCTGGTGTTGCCGAATGGCCCGATGTCGCCAGTAGCCGAGATCATCGACGAGCAGCACCAGGAGGTTGGGACGGTTGTCGGCGGCCGCGATGGTCGACGCTGTGTAGGAGAGCGTCGCCAGCAGCAGGAGCGGCCAGCGCATGGCGACACCACCGGCCCCGGGCGCACGTGGAAGTGACGAGCTACGCAGCTCACCCGACATGGCTGAGACGGCGCTGGGAAGTTTAAATGGCCGTCAAGAACGATAGCGCTGCGGTTATTGACTGCATTAAGGGCATATTGTCATGTCAAAGGGCTTCAATTAGACGTGGACGGCAGCTCCTCTGCGCCACGCATCGCTGAGATCTGGTGACCAACTCCCGCAGGGCGGTAGCGTACAGTGCTGTCACCCGCCCGATGCCGTACTGTATTGTTAAATAAACCTTAAAGGCACAGTGCGGTTGGTGGACGTTGTGCATCATTGAAAATTCATCCGCTACCTCGGGCTAGAACAGCAGCGCGGAAATGTTCCTAATGACTTAGACACCACACGACAGCTTGAAAACATTACGACGACATGGCTTTGTTGCACGAGTTGATGGATAAGTTCAGCGAGCCAGTCCTTATCCATTCATACTCCAGTAGGCAGGTGCTAGTCCATTTGGGGGGGGGGGGTGGGGGTGGATGTGACGACGGAATATATCGCCATATAGAAGTAGCAATTCTGTTTGAAGACCATGCATCATCGCAGTAGTACCACACCGGAGCTTGGTAGCAATATGCACATGTACTTTTAGCGAGATGCAGATAATCGGTTGACTGCTGCTTTATTATAAAAGTCACGATATCTGTGCAAACCAGTTTTTAGGCGGTGGAGCACCCTTTCCCTGGAGGTGCTAGTTCAATCGCTTTAATGAATTCTATTGATAAATCAAGAATGATGCCAGTCAACCATTTTTGGAGCGTGCAAGAGTCTGTTTCATGATTTTGATTGGCCTTTATAAGACTTTTTACAAATAAGCTGAATTCAATCACAGCGTGTTCACTCCACACTACACATTTAAGTTGACACGGTATTCATCCCACCACTTCTTACTCGCCGGCCAGCTTCCGCCTCTTGGCTTGCGCTGGCTGTCAGTCATGGCACCATCAATGTCACTTTTTCCCCGTGCTATGCATCTCACCGCACTGTGGTTCGATGTGAATGTGTTGAACAAGACGGCAGCCAGCGCCCTGAACGCGTTGTCTTTGCTCGGGAAGCGGTGGCCATTGAGCAGGACAATTCAACCAGACGGCCCATCACTCTTCCCAAGGGTTACCATGCTTTTCTGGAAGGTCTCTGAAAGACATGGTGCAGCCAAGGAAGTGGTACCGGATGCTCTAACCTCTGGCCAGCCATCCTTCACATGGCATATGTTCTTGGCAGAGAGACGGCTCTTCACATTTCTTGTCAATGATCCAGCTCCCACTTTGACTGTCATACCCTTCACTTTAAGCCTACCCTTCAACGACACGACCTGACTTCATAAATCGTTCCAAAGTACAACTGCTCAATACGCGGTTGTTATCGCCTGCCCGCCGGCCCCAGCCTGGTGCTGGTTGCTGCAGCCGCCGCCACGTGGCCAAATGAGATTGAGGTGCCGGGCTCGAGTGTTTTTTTGCGTCCTAAACCTGAGAGTGAGGGTGCTCAAAGTTATTGTATACTAACACATACACGTACACACACACACACACACACACACACACACACACACACACACACACACACAACACACACACACACACACACACACACACACACACACACACCACACACACACACACACACACACACACACACACACACACACACACACACACACCACACACACACACACACACACAACACACACACCACACACACACACACACACACACACACACACACACACACACACACACACACACACACACACACCACACACACACACACACACACACACACACACACACACACACACACACACACACACACACACACACACACACACACACACACACACACACACACCTTATTTAGTTATACCTGGCCCATGGCGTCCCCGTTAGCCCTCATATCACAAGAAAGGGCAACTTTCTAACGTGATCCCTCCAACCTGAGGGACACCCCAGATCTGCCTCTGTCCGGCAGACCGACAGGGGCGCAGAACGCCGGGTTGTCCAACTCACGTGAGCGCCGCTAGTGCCGGTGTGCTGCGGACAGACCCAAACACTATCTCACCGTCGGCCTCTTACCCTGTGACGTCACCACCAAATGTGCTGAGTCACTCTCTGGCGCCCCGGACCATGTGCCGCGTGACGCCTCAGTGTTGGCGCGCAGCCGCCAAATTGATGCCGGCCCCTATCTACAGGCGACATCCTTACCTGTCTATTCGCGTTGGACGCTTTTCGGCGACTACATCCCAAACTGATTCCGGCGGAATATAATAGCTCTCTGATTTGATTGAAGACTGGTAGCACTGTTGCGCTAAGAACATGCTCGCCAGTTACCTTTAAACCATTGCCAGATATAAGGCCCCTAGTGTATAAGCCGTCGAATTGTTGACCGCCCTCCTGAGAGTATCGTATTCATCTTGAAATGGCCTGAGCCCGTCAGTCAGTACCAGAATCAGCATGGAGACAAAGCCGTACTTTTGGCTTCGAGGTCAAGCCGGAACCAGAGCAATAGAAAGGATCCAAAGTAAGAGCACTGGATTCGTTGGTCGACATTATGGAGCTGACATCGAAAGCAGCGACGCCGAACAAAGGAAATGCTGATCCAAAGACAAGCTCATCAGTTTGAAGTCCCGCCAGGAAGTCGAAGCCGTATCTATCGCACGTTGATCTGCAAAGCCAAAACCATTATTGTATCTGTCAAAACCGCGTGAGATTAATGTCACCGAGGTTTTGCGGGATGGTTGAGACCAGGCGTCAACATTAGCAGCATTACCAACGTTACCATAGTATACATTTCGGACTGCCACCGTCTTGTGTTAGGACACGTACAACGTTTCGAACAGTTCTTTCTCCGGACATCGCCAGCTTTCAGTTGGTGCTGAGAGTGTCCCGCCGCTTCTTGGCGTTGAGCCAGGCATGCGTCGCAACCCACACAAATTACGAACTCTATTGGTGTGACGGAACAGGCACAAGTTTTTCAAGTAATGTTGCACCTGCAGTGAAGAATCCACACACGGAAGTCCAAGCCTGCATAGATCGCATGAGGATGACGCCAGTGCCATAACTCAGCTGTTGTCATTGGAGCTTTTACGACGCACCCAGCCGCTGAGGCTATATGGCGTCGCCTGCCTCTCACCCTGGCAGGACGGGCGAGCACCGCAGAGAATCGAGCCCGGTACCTCTGGCTTCCCAGACGCGCGGTGGTTGAGGAGCCATAACTCTAGAATAGTTTGCATGCGTAACAGAGCCAAAACTAGCAGTCAAAATGACAAGCATAGGCCGAGACAGAAACCGACAATATATGTCACAAAGCCAACGCTGAAACCACACCTATCATTAAAAAGCGACGCTCAGAACCGAAACCAAACCTCAAGTTATTGGAGGAAGACTTCAAAGCTGGAGTCGGCTTCCTGAAGCCGACTCTCACTTCGTCCCCATGACTGTTTGGAATCATTCTCTACACTGCCTGGCTCCCGCATTGACTGAGCTCCCTGGAACTCGTCTGAAAAAAACATCGACGCCACGGTCGTCTCTCAACGACGGACGTGGCTTCGCCGGTCCCGCGAGGGGCTGCGGCGCTATCCCAGCGTCCCCCGCGGCCCCGGGGGCACCGCCAGCCATGTTCAAACTTTGAGACGGTTTATTGGAAAACACCTTTTTAGAACAGCGGAAAACAAAACGAAAACGATCCTACGTACAAGTGCGACGTACAAACCACCACGAAAATAACCGCATCGGAAATAAGAACCGCTCGTACCGAAAAATACACAAACAATTTAATGAATGCTGGATATCAGACAATGGGAAGTAACATATTCCACATTAATATGCAAAACGTAGAAAAATCCCCACTCAATGCCTCCAGTCCAATGAAAAACATAGTTTTAAGAAATGATCAAACTTTGGTTGGTCGGTTAAATGCGCATTGAATTATCATGACAATGCGTAACAGCCGTAATATACGGCAAGCCGCAACAAGTACAGATGAAAACCTAGTCGCCAGTACGCGCTGGTCAGTCATATTCGCTTCTAAAAACTGACATAGCTCACCAGTAATTCACAAACGTGTTTCAAGAGTAGGCATTTTATCACACGAGCGACGCTACATTTCTTAAATTTTAACAAAGCAGAGTGACATATTCTTGAAAATCCACGAGTCAGATCCCAAAGCTGAGGCACCACGAAAGAAGCTTTGGTGTGGCATCAAATGCCGCATCAAATCATCCACCCAGTCTGCAGACGCTGGGCAGCCTTGGTCCTAGCGGGCCACCTATAGCAATAAGTCCTCTAGCCGAGAACACAGTTTCCCAACTCGCCGCTATCGTCGCTAGCGTCGTCAGCGTAGTTTGAGCAGTTCCTCCACCTGCCGCCGCGTGTCGCTGGGGTCGACGACAGAGTGGCCCACCGTGCGCGGGTCCTCATAGATGGCGTGATCGTTGCCGCCCGGACTCGTCTTGTCGCCGAAAAAGTGAATCTCTGAAATCATAGTCAAATCACCACCACGTCGCCGCCACATAGTGCCACGCACCGTCCCCGGACCCGGCCGTCCGACTGCTCGGCGGGTGGTGAGGAGGAGGAGGAGGAGGAGGAGGAGGAGGAGGAGGAGGAGGAGGAGGAGGAGGAGGAGGAGGAGGAGGAGGAGGAGGAGGAGGAGGAGGAGGAGGAGGAGGAGGAGGAGGAGAGGAGGAGGAGGTCCGTTAGGCACAGCCCTTCCCCAAATGGAATGTTTGCCAGCTTCGAATTTTGTAGCCAACTACCTTGGCAGAAGCTTGCAGCACAAATCTAGAAGCAAGGAATACACCATGCATGATGCACAACATGAGACTGGCCCTGGAAAGTCAGCTGTCTGCCAGGTGCGGAGAGAGGCAGTACCCAACAAGGCGCAAGAACATGCCTCAGGGCTCGGCAATGAGGTCCTGAAGTCCCAGCAGTGACAGCCAAATCCGAGCCATGATAGCTAGCTTCACATTGTTTTTTCTCAATTGTGTTATAGTCAAATGACAGACAGCGCTACCCAGATCTCTGCCTTGTTCCCCTGCACGAATGGGGTCAATTCTAAGCCAAAATAAGTGGGAACGAAGCCATGATCATCTAAGGGTTTTATCACCGCCTTCCGAATGAGTTTTGTGTCCCGATTCAAACACAAAGTTATCCGAATTAACCTTGATTCACAACCTTTACGGAATGATTTAAAGAACCCATTCATTCCAGCGATCTGATGACTATAACGCAAGGGTGATCACAGACTGAAGAAACGTTCTTTGAATACAATGCAAGTTTTACCAATATAAAGACTTGTATTGAAAGATTAGTGGTGACTTAGAACTGGGCCGAACTGCACAAATTGGTCCCATTCAAACAGCGGAATGACTACCTGCACGAGCCCTTCGACCAGGCCAAAATGTTTTAACTACCCTGAAATGGCATGGCAATGAAATGCGAATGACTGGTGTAACCCTAATTAGTTGGTGGCCATTGCAGAATTTCTACCTGTTCTACGGCCGTACCATACACAGATGGGATCATCAAACTGTAACTAAGTCACGGAAAATGGCGTCACTGGGTCACCCAATTGACCCGTCCGCTTGGTGTGACCGTAAGCCATCCAGTCTCTGGCTGAGGCAAGAGCCAGACACAAGGACTTCCAAGCAAGGGGCTCCAGGCTTCCAGGCAGCACCACGTGGGTCGATTGCTGATGGTGATCCCAGCTCAGTCATTAGTTATCAAAGGCGGATGGAATGGGTCACAGTGAGTGATTTTTAATCCATTTATATAACACTTCGCCTGAATCACTCGAAAGCTGCAGGAACCAAATCGACCCTTTGAGTTTGAAAAAAGAAGAAGGCAAATAATTCGAATCGAGCATGACTCATCGAGAGACGGAGTAGGCCATACAACCTGAATCCGAAGGGAATCAAGCACAAATCTGGCGCTACAACTTAAATTTTACGCCAATCGGCCATATTACTCTCGCAGTAATGTTACATAATAAACCAAAGACATGGGATGAAAAATGTACGCCCAGGTAGCATTTTCACTGTGTATAGCCTCACACAAACACGTGTCCATAGTCTCTCCGCGTGCCTGCGCGTGCCTCCACGCCCCGCCCCGCCCCGACAATCCGTCCGCGAGCTCACCATCAAAGCCCTCCTTCTCGACGAACTGCAGCGAGTACGTCTTGTCCCAGCCCTTGGGGAACACATCGACGCTGATCTGGCCGCCTGCAACACACGCGCGCACGGGTGACGGACTGACGGTGGACCGGTCTGGCGAGTGACATGGGCTTCACCGCACGGCGCCTCCCTTCGGCGGCAACCGGTGTCGTTGAAATGTTTGTGCCATCGCAATTGCGCTGAGCGTAAGCTGCGGATTTGGGGATATTTTTGGAATTTGGGGGAGTCTGGTGGCCAATGACGATATTACACGGAGACATGGCATTGCGGAATCTTGAGAATTTGCCCAACAGGGTGCTGATGCATGATAAAGCACGTAGGAAAGAGGTTCGCAGGTTGTGGGTGGCCTTCCCCGTCGTCCTGCGACAGCAAGTCGGATTAACCGCTTGCAACAGGTTGCAACAACAGGAATGCAACAGACTGCGGCGTGTTTGCACTGTGCGTCGGCAACAGGTTACGTTATGCGTCTCAACGAGCAGAGCACATGCAATCCACTGGGGCACGCATGACGCCAGGCACTCAGCTGAGCTCGACGCTAGGAGAGTATGGAAAAGACACAACAGCTAATCAGCTTGGAAGCTCACAACCCCACGGTGGTCCTGAGGCGACTCGCACCGACGCGACACGTGACAAACGGAGCGCACTGCTGGGGGAGGGGGGGGGGGGGGGGGCGGGCGCGCCGGCCGCGTACCGATGCAGAAGCAGAGGCCCGAATCGCCGAACTGCTCGGTGAGCGCGCGCACCAGGTCGCTCCTGACGCCGTGCGCGGCGTCGTACTCTACGAACTGGTCGCGCTCCGCCTGGCTGCAGCTGCGTCCGATCGGCGAGACGTTGATCATGCCTGTGGCCGAGGGCGCGGCGTGAGGCGGCCTCGCACGGCACGGGCTCTGGAGTGACGGGAGTCCGTGTCTGGAGTCATCACCGCCGCCGGGAGCTAAGGGGAGGGGCGGGGGGGGGGGGGGGGGTCCGGCGTGGCGCGGTCTGGGACGTGGCAAGTACGCCTGGAATAACTGAAGCGGCAGACAGACAGAAGCAGATTGGGAAGTGTCCATCGTGCCACGGGGGGACGGGAAGTAGCTGCCCACGCTCCGTCTATGTCGCGTGGAGTTTTCATACCGTGCGGCCTCATCCTGGAATCACCAGCCGCCGGCCATTATGAGCTCCCGGGGCCGTGCTTCGCTCATAAATCTGACCAATATAAATAAGAGGGGTTTGTTTGAGTTCCCACGCCTTTCTCAGGCTCTTGACGCGTTTGTATCATTGCCGCATTGTCGTTTTTATTTTGTAACGTGCAACCCATTAACTTGAATATATCAAGCCCTATGACTTAACAAAAAAGAATAAAACCATGAGCCCTAGGACATATTGATACGGAACCATTCGTTGTAACACATAACAAAGTTCGGAAACGGCCAAAACACAGTGATCATACTTGAAACGGAACGGGAGACATACCGCCCGGGAAAGAGAAGGTACGGATGGAGCGAACGGGGCGTTCTGAAACACATGGAACAGCCGGAATAGACCACCCGAAACAGAGCCATCGACGATGGTGGCCGGAAGGACCGGACGGGTTCAGCACAGAGCGGACCACAAGATGTGGATTATGCCTGGAGCGGACCCAGATGTGCGCATCAGAAACCCGACCTCATCTGCGACAGTCGGCGGCAGAGAGCCGGCGATCACGTGACCATCATCCCCATGACAACCGAGCGTCGGCTGAAACATCTCCGACACCAGAAGTTAGCAACACCCCCCAGAATCACGCCACCAAGGCGAGAGATATGGCCACCTGATACCGAAGAGGGGACCACGCTCCCTCCACCACCTTCCGCGACGTGGCTCCTGCGGCGCACGCTGTCGTACCGTTCCTGAACTCGACGAAGTTGCCCCTCTTCAGCGGCAGCTCCACCTTGGAGAGGTGCGCCAGCGTGAAGTTGATGAAGCGCTGCAGGAACGCGTCACCCAACTGGCTCACCAGGTCCGCCTTGTGGATCTGCTCGCCGCCTGCCGGGGAGAGTGGGGGTCCTGAGTGCGAAACTACTCACTCGAGAGTGGGAGGGGGGGGGGGGGGGGCAGTCACGGGCAGGCCGGGTTGCGGGGAGGCAGATTCAGCTGTGGCGGGGTCTGGGTAACGAGAGAGAAATGGGTGCCAGTTTCCGTTATGGTCAAAGTTACGTTACGGTTAAATCAAAGACCAGGCAAGGATAGAACAGGCAAGGACAAGATCAAGTATCCGTCACGACTAGGCGCAGCACTGCTTTCCTAGCATGCCGTGCCCTCCCGCATGAGCACCGGTGGTGTCGTGGTTAAGCTACGCGCTAGGGAAGCGAGGTTTGAGGTTTCCCCGACGCACAGTTCAGTTCACGCCTCGTCTCATGCGTGCAAACGCACTCCGCCGCGCGCGGCAGTGCGTCCCACCTCTGCCGCAGGCGCCTCGGCCGCGGGCGGCACGGTAGCGTCCCGTGACGGGCGCTCGTAAAGTGGCGGCTGGGTCGTGCCAGCGGGGTCGTGCCGACCGGCGCGGCTCGCGAGCGGCGCCTGGCACCGCCGCCGCCGCTCCGCCGCCGCACTCAGCGCCGGGTGAGGCCGGGTCGGCCCGCAGGCAGCCTCGGCGTCCGGCTCTGGCGGCGGAGCGGCGGCGGCGGAGCGGCGGCGACGGCCTCTGACGCGAGGCGGCGGTGTTTGCTCAGAGCCGTGAGTGGCAGTGCCGGGTGCGTTCCCGGTCGGCCGGTCGCGCAGTGGCAGGGTTGGTGGCCCCCACCGCCCCTCCCCCCTCCCCCCCCCCACCTCCGTCGCCTCTCCATAGCGCTAGAGAACGCTGTTCCAGGGTGGCACGTAAAAGTTTAGAGGTAGAGAGGTGAAATTTTGTACGAAGTGTAAACAGTCCCTCACGAAGGAAGTGCCTTCCTTGGGGCAGGAATAACGTTCCGTGCAACGTGAGCTCCAAACTCTCAATGTCCTCACATGTTGGGCATTTGTGAGATACTGCTCATCAAACGTTTAGTAGTCGACGACAGTCTGCCGAATGAATAGCACCCTTAATGTCTCCTTTGCTCGGCAAAAGTTTGGCCCATTGGCGAGTGACTATGACCATATACGTCGCCTGTCCACAAGCCACTGCATCCAGGAATGGTGTTCCCTTGGACAAAAAGATATCTTCAAACCTCCATTTCTTTGGTGGAAGCCAAGCCACGCGACAACAGCAGCGAACGCCATGAGCATTGCGACTTGAGCATTTTCCGGCATTGCCAAAAGCGGTGCGGAAATCAGAGCATTGAGCTTAACATGACCGACATAAGGTATGACATCACATGTTTCGGGAAATCAAAATAGACGTCTCCTCTTCCAAAAGAACCACATGCGCTCCGGCTGCAGTATTTAATCGTCGAATGACAGCGTTAGACAACCTTACGTACAACCTTACATACATATCAGCATGGCCATGAACGGCCACAGTTCACTACGGGACGCCAACGCACAACAAAAATATATACGTTGATCGTTATCGCGGATTCGTAAAGGCTCTTTGACTTCCTAGCATGACAGTATCAGTACAAACACCATCTTAAACGATGCACTAAATTTAAGGCATCACTTTTATGCCGTCTGGACATCTGCCTCTCAAGCGCACTGTTGAAAAGCAATCGTTGAGTTGGAGTAAAAAATAAAATCAATTAAAGTGGGTCTGTGCGGATGTTTCCGGCATCATTTTCGCTACAATTTTGACGCTTCCTGAAATCTGGCATCAACGTAAAAACAATGCACTTTGGCAGACGTCCAAATACGCGCACGTCGGTGCACGTTCTCACACAAAGTTTGGCTTTCAAGTCATCGCGCCAGAGCACCTTCGGCATTCACTTTCTGTCCCTCGCTCCCACGTGAGACCGTCCGTCGAGGGCGTCCCGGGGCCCATCCCCAGCTCCCCTCCCCAAACACGACACCGACGAGCCACCCTCCGCAGTGCCGAGTGAAGTTAAACAGCGCGGCGCACGCCACCGAGGGCCGCCGCTTACGCCGGAGGGCCGGCCGGGCGCGCAGGCGGCGCGGGACGGGCTGAGCACGTCACGCCATCTGACGCCCCGGACGGGATGGACGCGGCACACGCCAGCCGGCGCGGAGGACGGGCTGGCGTGGCGGTGAGCAGCGAGGATTGGTCGCCGCGCGAGAGGCGGAGTGATCCACACTGGATCTGGATCGGCGTCGATGTTAGATTGACGCCGACTCGGTGTGGAGGCCAGGGAACGAATCAATGTGACCCGGAAGATCACGTAAATAACAGCTATTATTTGTAAAAGTGGGGGCAAATACACCACAAGCATCTTATTCCAGACCATTATTGCTGCACGTCCTTGTCCAGAATGCTACATTAGACGGCGTCACACCGAGATCACAGACTATGCTGATACCATTGAAAACTTAACTAAAAAAATCAACTAACTTAACTACAAGCTATCAAAATTGGAACTATGAACGCGCACAAATGCACAGTGAATGCCTTTACTGAAGCTGTACTCGGGCAAGACCCAATCTTGCTCCAAAAACCAGCTTTGACGACAAGCAAGCCTCATTAGGTGAGCAGTGACCCACAAACGTTACTTCACACAGCGGATGATCCCTAAGTTGACCGACCTTCCACCTGACCCCGAAAGGCAAACAAACCTTGGCAATGATCTCTGACATCGCTGCTGACCTCCGGACGCAACCAGACCTGGTTACTCACCCTTGAAGGCGACCAGACCGTTCTCGGCGAAGACGTACTCGCAGAGCCGGTGCACAGACGCCTCGTCCCCGCCGGCCAGCTGCTGACAGATCTTGGGCAGGTCCGAACCGCCCACCACGCCCACGCACGCGTGCTCACGCACAGAGCGCAGGAACTCAGTCATCTCCGGCGTGATCGACTGTCGGGCAGAGGTCAAGGGTCAGGGCAGGGGCCAAGGGGCGGGGATAAAGTTCACGAGTCAGGGACGCAGGTCGAGAGTCAAGGTCATAGGTCAGTAGTTGCGGCAGAGGCTGGGAGACAACGGTAAAAGGGTAGAAAACAAAGGTCGAAGGGCATGGGAGGACTGTCAAGGGGTAGGGAGGTAAAGGCCAAAAGGTAAGGGGACACACCAAAGGGTAGGGGATACTGGCACGGGTCCGAAAGTACAGGTCAACAATCAGGGGAAATCGGTCAAGAGTCATTAGGTACATGCAGAGCGGCGCCACAGGGATGGGACGCGTCCCCCTATCGTCGAATACAGCAGGGCATCCCCATATTCTAACAAACTCCTTGTAGGAACAACAAATGCGCACAGCTTTTCACAAAAGGGTTCTTTTCCCAATCTTTGCCATCATGAGGCTGTCTCGTATCAGTAGGATTTATCCCATTGGTTCAAATAGTAGTTCGATGCTACTAGGACTCCAAAAGACCGCATGGTGAGATTCACCTATACCGACCGAGTATAGCTGCAATGTCTTCCTGACCTTGGGTGTAAATCCGGATTAGGAAGTGATAAGAGCGTCACGTGCCTGCAGCCAACCGATGACAAGAGATGTTTCAAGGGAAATGTGAAATATATTACCGAATTGTAGTACGCGTGCTATGATGCAATATCCCCAATTCCCTAGGTTCGGCTACTACTTTCATGCGCCCTCGCCAATGCCCATCACGCGTCATCACCACGTCCACCGTTGTGTTTTTGGCGTAGCTTTGGAGCACAAATAGACACACCCCTTGCCATGTTATTTATCTTTTCTGTGTATTGAACACCATGAAATATCTGCACATAAGTGCCTTGAGCGATAACGTCATAGCGTAATACTTTCCTGGGCCATTACCGTACTGAAGTGACTATTTGAAATTTTTTGTCTTCGTTATGGTGATATTTTAGTCAATATCATTATATCTTTGAAAAATAGCATTTTCAACAGTTTTGCTGTGATTACGTTCTGTTCCGTACAAACCCTGCCTCTACACGGTTCCCGTTTTTGTGTGAAATGTCGGCTTTGCTGTCCCGTCTCTGAGCTTCTGTTTATCTCCATTTCTCGGTCCCCTGTCGAGTTACCCCTTATATTTATGTTTTGTTTAGGTTACCGTCCCTGCGACCCCGGCCCTACGGCCAGCCCGGAAACTGCGCCACATGTGTCGTGTCCTGCGCGGGGCCGCGCCGCCCGGTAACCGACCGGTCGTCTCGCGAACACCGCCAGGGAGAGGAAGCGCATGTCCTCTTCCTGGCCCGATACCTAAACCTCAAAATGCAGCATCAGCCGACGGATGTTTGTTGACGAACGATCGAACGATACCGAACACGTTCTGTTTCAAATAAAGACAGGGTCTGAGCCGGGCTCGGCGGGGGTAACGAAAGTCCGTCCCTCCTTAATGTTTCAGGGCTTAGAAGAAAGAACATCCGAGCGGGACGACGAACACATTTTAGCACTGTTTATGCATCCATTTTGTACCCAGGGACGGGGACCGGTAGTGTAGCGGGTAAGCTGCACGTCTGGGAAGCCAGAAGTGAGGAGGTCGATTTCCCGCAGCGCCCGCCATTCCCGCCAGGTAAGGGCGAGCGACGACTCGTAGCTTCAGCAGCTGGGTGCATCGTAAAGCCCAATGACGACGTGTACCTGGGGAATAATTTTAAACTCAAAGCCGGTCACCGCGCTGGATAAGGTCATTCTGAGGTCAAAAAAGAAATAAAGGGCTATGGCTTGTTTAAGCATGGACAGATTATGCAAATATTGCAGAAGTGCCCCGATATGAGGTCAGATGTGCATTTCAATGTTTGGTTGTCTTTAAACAATATACGATCTTATAACCTGCAGCGGAATACGTTTCTGCGAGTACTTCGGCAGTGACTTTAGGCATCACAGTGCCTTTCTGGGTTCCTTATTTGGCTAAGGTAGCAAGAAAACACAGCTTCTGAGCCACGGCATGCATCGATCGCGAACTCTGGCCGCGTTTGGTCAAATGTTGACCTTCCAGGCCGAACCCAAAGATTTCTATTGGCGCAGGCTCGGGAGCAGCTTCAACCCCGACGGCCAACACGCACCTCCGTAGAGAAACACACACGGCGCGGTCCCTCCAATCTCCACCTAGTCCAAAACACCGCAGGCAGTCCGGCCAGGACTCCATACGACGCCAGCTGTCGGCCCCCGGGGCCGTGACCCGAGCGTGACCCGGCTCTGGCGGTGGCGTGCCCCGGCCCGGTCGCATTGATTGACGCGGCGGGCTCCGGGGCACGGCGGGTCGCGTGACGAGCCCCGAGGTTGCCATCACTAAATCACCGGCGCACTGGTAACGAAGGCCTCGCCATGAGCGGGCGCGCCATCGATCACCACGGCCGCCCGGATCACCCACAGGGGGTGCAGGGGGGGGGAGGGGTGATGGTTGCTGGTGCGTGGTTTGTGTCGAGTGAGTACCTGGTCGACGCGGTGAACATGGTGAAATCCCATACAGGCTGTACCGCGGCCGACGGCCAGTTTTAAAACAGCCCGGCCAGCTTGCCCGGCTCAAGAGGGGTGGCAGGGGCGGGGGGGGGGGGGAGCCAGTCAGACAGCCCAGACAGCCAACCGAACAGCGCTGTACAACAGCTGTCAGCCTTGCAGAAAAAACAAAAGCGCTTCGCTCTGAAGTTCCCCTATTTGAACGAATACGGCGGCGCCACGTGGCCCTCCTCCACCTGCCAACACCCGGCAATTGAGCCTGGCAGCCAGCGCTGGCGCGGCATACCCATGCCCCTCCCCGCCGGTCGGCCTGACCACGGAGGGGTGAAGCGGCGGCCGGCAGCTCGGCGATCAATACTGGAATTGATCGCGGCGCTTCACAGTGGACAGGCAGGGCCCACAGCAGCCTCACGGCCGACGGATGGACGCACATCGGGCGTCGCCGCGCTGAGCGGGCGTCGCTCAGCGGGCCCGCAGCGGACGACGTCGCCGCAGTGACGCCACCAAAGCGTGCCGGCAATATTGTATTTATCGCGACGAAAGGCACAAACAGCTCGGCTGGCGTGCCGTTCAAACGCAATCACTGCTACTTTCACGACAAAGGCGGGCATGCAGGCATGGACTGCCTACAATCCATACCGATGCGTACAGGATATCGAATTCAGCGCAGGCACGTCCCATCGGTGGCGACTGTGCAATGCGTAACGAATGTATGACACACCTGCGTGAAGATACCTCTGATACGCCAACCTTTGCCGCAGTCACGCCGTTAAGCTCGTGGTCCGACTGACAGTACAGCATCAACGGCGGCGCAGCCCCCGCCATCGGCCGCGCTGCGCACATTCCTTCACATGACGCGGTCATCGCGCGCCGACAAAGGCGCGCCGGCCGCCGCCCCGCCCCTCCGCGTGGGGGCGGGGGCAGGTATTGACGGCACCGACAGCCGCCATCCAGGCGTCGGCGGCGGCGGCCAGTGCACGGCCGACGGTGGGGGGCAGCCGGCGGACCGTGCTGCGCGCTCAACAGCCGCGGCGGTGACCTGGGGTCGGGCGGACACCTGGTCTGAGGCAGAGCGGTGACCTGAGGTCAGGCGGCGGTGACCTGTGCCGGTGCCGGACGGCGGAGTCTGAGCGCCCTCGGGCGGCGGGGGTGTGCTGATCGCCGTGATTCCAGCGGGAGTCCTTGGCCAGGAGTCCAGCGGTCAACTGACGGCGCGACAGCTGACTGCTGCTCCGGGCAACGGTGAGGAGGGAAACACCGAAAGTTCACTGTGGTAAATGCCCGCTCGTTGGCCAGTCGCAACAAGACGGGCAGCAGTGCCAACCTGGTATTAAGCGGTAATCCCGGTCACAGCCAGCAGCCGCCAGCGTCCAAACGGAAAACCCACGACATTCGATACCACTGACTGTACTTAGCACGGCCATAGCGGCCCGCTCAGACCGTTCTACCCTGAAGCTGATCCCCGAGCCAGTCAACACATCTCCGTGACCCCGCGACCCCACCAGAGCGGCGGCCATGAGCAGCGCGCGCGTGCAACGATCCGACTTCGCCGACTTCCAATACCAGGAGGCTGTGGGCCGGCTGCGGCTGCTGCTCACAGACTGCGGCTTCGGCAGCGGGCGCGGCTCCGACGCAGGCAGCGTCTGCTCAGTCAGACAGCGCGGCCCCGCCGCCCGACCGGAATTGGCCCGCTTCCGGTCAGAGAACATCGGCTTCTCGTCCGAGCTGACCGGCTTCCGACCGGAAATGACTAGCTTCCGAATGGAGCTGAGCAGTTCCCGTCCGGAACTATCAACCTTCCGACCGGAAACGAGCAGCTTCCGACCGGAACTCTCCAGCTTCCGGCCGCGCAGCGCGCTGGCGCAGCCGTCTCGCCGGCTCGAGACGCTGGGCCTCGGCTCAGCCTCGCTTCGCGCCGCCTCGCCCCTGTCGGTGCGCTCGCTGCGCCACGCGGAGCCAATCCGGGACGGCGTGGACGGCGGCGGCGGTGGCGGCCGCGCCGAGGAATTGCTGGCGACCCAGCCGGACGCGGCCCCCACCGAGCGATCCCAGGTGAGAGGCGAGGGAGGCGCCGCTGAAGGGTGAGTGTGAAGTACAGGATGTGAGATGCGAGCGTGATATGTGAGTGTAAAATGTGTAACGAAATTTGAAATGCAAGACGTCAGTTTGAAATGCGATATGTGAGTCGGTAATGCGAGATGTCCGTGTGAGATGTGACATGTGAGCGAGCCACCGCGACGGCCTAGCGCTCCCAGGTGAGAGGCGCGGGTGACGCGAGTGACGCCGTTGGTGCGTGTGCCAGCCCCTCCGGCGAGCAGCTTGTCGAGCGCTGTGCCCACTTTCAGTGGCAAACCGTCGGCAAATGAGTCCCCCTCTCCCGGAGAAAGCGCTGAGCCATCAGCTTCCGCTCTCAGCGTGCGTTACAGTCCCAAACCAGGAAAACCTTATTCACCTAAGGCACGTGAAAAGCATAGAGCGTTACAATCCCAAACCAGGAAAACCTTATTCACGTAAGGCACGTGAAAAGCATAGAGCGTTACAATGCCAAATCAGGAAAACCTTATTCACGTCAGGCACGTGAAAAGCATAGTGCGTTACAAGCCACAAGCGAGGCAAGTATTTTCCGCGTTTGGGACGTGGGCACCACACGTGACAAGCCGCTGCCGGCCGTCTGACACTGTACCCCTCCGTGCGCCAGATGACCGAGCTGCGCCAGTACGCGCTGCGCCAGGCGGAGCTGACGCAGCAGCTGGAGCAGGAGAACGGCCACCTGCGCGAGATGACGGAGGAGCTGCGCCGCTACGTGCGCGAGCTGGTCACCGAGAACGGCGCGCTGGCGGACGACCTCAGGTCAGCGCGGGCCACACAGGGTCAGATGTACACTGAAGATCACAGGTTAAGGGCGCGGTCGCCGGGACGTCGCGCTGAGGCCGGCAGATGACCTCAGGTCAGAACAGGTCTAACCTCGGATTAGCGCTTACCATGTGAGGCAGGCTGGGGGCTCCAGGTCAGTACAGGCCACTCAGGCCCAGGGGTACATTGAGGTCAACCCGAGGGTTGCTACTTCGCGCAATGCGCCTAGACCAAAACGATGCAAAACGCGTGCCAAATACGCCACGACACATCTGCAACGCCTCTGGAGCAGCCGTACGGCCCCACGCCACGCATCTGGGCCGCACCAACGTCACAACTGAGCACGGCATCCCGCGACACCCACGCAACATCCTCCACCAGCCGCGTCCCACCCTTCAACCAGCGCTAACAAGCCGTACACGGCCGCAGGCGGCGCGCGACGGCCGAGCGGGCCGGCTCGGAGACGTCGGAGGGCGGCGACGCCCGGCTGGAGGCGTGTCGGGCCGAGGTCGAGCGGCTCAGCCGACAGATCGTGGAGCACGAGGAGCAGCTGAACGCCGTGCATGCCAGGCAGCTGCACCAGCTGCGCGGCGAGCGTGACCAGCTGGTCGATAGTGGCAACCAGCTGAAGGTAGGCACGTGCTGAGCGGGCCAAGGGCGGCGCGAGACGCCGAGGTAAAGGTCATGGGATGAGCAGGCACAGGTGGGGATAGAATGAGAATGCAAAGGCGAGTGTGGGATGATCAGGAAAAGGTGAGTATGGGATGGCCAGGCACAGGTGGGTATGGGATGAACAAGCAACGGTGAGTATGGGATGACCAGGCACAGGTGGGTATAGGATGACCAAGTAAAGGCGAGTATGGGATGACCAAGTCGAGGGTATGGGATGACCAGCTGAAAAAGGACCTAACGCAACCTGATGGTTGTTGTGTTGTGTTGTTGTTGAGGTGAGTGTTGACAACGTGAATGTGGTCGTTGAACGGTCAAGGATATTATTCACACAGCGTGGCATGACCTGGTGACGCAGATCCTGGGTTGGCCAGCCCAAATCGAGCTAGGTACGTAACCGCATCTCTTGCTTGTGTGTGCACACAACGCTAAGTCAGGAATGGCAGAACCCGGAAAGAACAAATTATTCGACCAGACGGAGATTCGCATGGCAGAGCTCGTTTAAAACCAGCTCAAGGTGAAGCGCTATGAAGAGGCCTGCCTTACTTTTCATAAATTTTGGTCGCATGCTTTTTGCAAAAGTAGCTTAGGGAGCAGGGCCCTCATCAAACACAGAATGTTGCAGATACCCCGACCCCTAACAGAGGAAAACAATCTACTGGAACTCAACAATCCACCGGCAATACTGCAAAAGGCAGATAGAATTGAACGACCGCGCAGATATGCACACGCTGCGAACAGACAAAGTGACCACGTCAAGCTAAACATGATCCTACTAGCTTATTTGAGCCTAGCGCGCAAGGTAGACGAACAACGCATGCCGGCTGTCAGCTTTTCTCTGACTGCGTACACTGTAACACAATGACCCTCTCCCTTTAACGGACACGATCTGACAACCAAGTTCATCGTTGCTCTACTCGTCAGCACAGGGTGTCGTTAAACGCGCACAGTATTCTGCAGCCCCCTGTCCAAACTGGCCCGGGGAATACCGGGCCGCCGCATTCTCAGGCGACTGACTGCACATCGCGTGCAGCCGCCTCGACTCATTGAGCAAAGTGGTACCGACCCAATCCAATCGAACGTCACGACACAATACGGGCGCTCAAGCAAACGCACGTCTCGCACGAACGCCTTTCCGTCGGCAGTAGTTGCACATAACCCAGCGGTGTCGTCGCGTGCCAGCCAGCGTGGAGGAGCTGCGCTCGCGAGATGAAGCGTCACGGAGGCTACTGGCTGACGCTAAGGGCGGCCGAGCGCCAGCTGCCCACAGTAGTTGCACATAACACCCGCTGCCGTTGCGTGCAGGCGAGCCTGGAGGAGCGACGGAAGCGCGAGGAGCTCGCGTCGCAGAGGGCGGCTGAGAGTCAGCAGGCGGCTGAGCAGGCACGACTGGCCAGCGCCCAGGCGGAGAACACGGCGGCTCAGCTGCGACGGTAACCACGCGGGCGGCACGAGGGGAACAGGACACAGGGTGGGGGGCATGCCCCGAGCCCGGCGGACTGTGTACTGCGATCGCTCGACGGCGGCGACTTGTGAAAAGGCCGCTGCACACTTGCCGTCATGTCCGTGCACCCAGTTGGAAAGAAAGACATGTGTGCCCGATGTCAGCTCGCTGCAATTTAGCGGTTCAATCGCAAGAGCTCAGACGAAAATCAGGCGATGCTGCATAAGCCCGCGAAGCGGATAGCGGTACAGTTTTAAGACCACAACAGACAGTGTTCTTTGTTCACACGTGATTCTCATCTCACAAACGATGCTATAGCCTTTAACCTGAGCCAAAGCAACAACGCACACAAATTTGAAAGATGCCGGACGCTGTGTTATGCTCTCGGCGTGGATTGATTATTATATTATCGTATATCGGCGTGGACTGACACCTCCGCCAACAAGAGGCGGCCGATGGGCGGCGCCTGTGATAGTCATACGCATGACCGCGCCATTGAGACGCGCGTATAGGCCAACCACCCCAAGAGGATCCGTCAACTCTAACAACACCAGCTAAATGTCCAGCTTTTGAGTTCTCTTGTCCAGTCCGAAGACTAGTGAAAACCGTACTAACGCTTCACCGAACTCGGGCGTCGTGCATCTGTTGAAAAGCTCCGTGACGCCTGAACGGAAACGCCCCTTTTTACATACTTTTTACAAGCTTCAATGGGCAGCACGCCCCAGCGATAACTGCCCCAAAGATCCGCACTCAAACAACAGCTAAGAGGAGAAGGCCCCGACAATTCCGTGACCCCTGCCGCCAAACGGCGCCGCTACTCCAGCGCCGTGGCGTCACAGTCTGCCCTCTCGCTGCCGGCACAGAGAGCTGGAGGAGCGTGAGCGGCGGGCGGACCAGCTGGTGATGGAGCACCAGCGCCACCTGATGGCCGCCAGGGAGCAGGCTGAGCAGGCAGTGCGGGCCACCTTCGACAAGCTACGCGGCAATCTGGACCGGCAGGCCGAGCAGATCGCCGAGGTGAGGCTGACGGCGGTGGCGGCGGTGACGCCGGTGATGGTGGTGATGTTGGTGACATGGTGATGGTGGTGAAGGTGGTGATGGTGGTGAAGGTGGTAATGTTGGTGAAATAGTGATGGTGATGAAGGTGGTGATATTGGTAACAGAGGTGATGGTGAGGGTGGTGATGTTGGTGACATGGTGACAGTGATGATGTTTAGTAACAGTGGGGACGGTAATTGTGGTGAAGTTGGTGATGTTGGTGACATGGTGACGGTGATGACGTTTGGCAGCAGTGGTTACGGTGGTGACGTTGGTGGCATGGTGACGATGTTTGGTAACAGTGATGATGTTTGATGACAGTGATGATGTTTGGTAACAGTGGTGATGTTAGTGACACGGTGACGGTGATGATGCTTGGCAGCAGCGGTTACGGTGGTGAAAGTGGTGAAGGTGGTGATGTTGGTGACATGGTGACGGCGATGACATTGGTAATAGTGGTGACGGTGGTGATGGCGGTAGGTGTCAGTGACGCTGGCGCCGGTGGCGATGGCCCCGCACACTGCTGGCGATGTGCCAGTGAAGCGGCACAGAGGCACAGACGAGACGCGTATACTGTCCAGACACCAGTCCAAGGCCACGACGTCGACACAGCTACGGAGACGTGCATGACGACGACACGGCACGTTCTGTCGAGGGCGTGTCCCTGTCGTCAGCGTCCGAGCGTATGCGTCCCCTGTATCGTTAGCCACCGCACGGTGGCGACAAGATGTCTGGAACAGCGCAGACCGCTCTGGCCGGGGGTCACGTCAAGACGAAGACCATGAGCTTCTCCTATCGGAGCCCTGGAGCGGACTGGTCGAGCGAAGGAATGGGGACAGATCTTCCGAGGTTACATGACTCGAACGCTGCTCAAACTGCACAGCAAAGTCGTTGCAAAGTTGCGTTTGCATTCTCCACAAAATCGCCCGCAGATGGAGGCGGAGCAGCAGCGCCACGCGCGGCAGGTGGCGGAACTACGCGCGGAAGTGCAGCAGCAACAGCAGGCGGCAGCGCAGGCCCGGCTGGACGCCGACAGCGCCGCTTCGCAGCATCGACAGGAACTAGAGCTGCTTCAGCGGCGCTCCCAGGTTTATACTGAAGGAACCAGCAATGCCCAAGGGCACTGAGTCCATTTCTAAATGCGTCATTTCCTCACCCTGTCATCCCAAACAATGATCAAAAGATATCGTTACTGTATGTACTGCAAGAGGGAACCACTCAGATACGCATCGTTCATCCGCAAACACGTCTACGTATTTGTTCGTCCGAGGAACCACACTGCAGCAGTACCGCGAAATCCCCGCTGCAATGTAATGCCACAGCATAACGCCCGGTGTCTGAATGGACAGCACACTCTTACAGACAGCAGCCCGGTGGACGCAGCCCCTACCGCTGGGCCGCGATTGGATGCGAAATCGTAACACTCAACTGTGAATGGTAGCCACCATCCTATGTAACTGATCACAACATAAAACATAACCTAGAACAATAACATAGAACATAACATAGAACATAGAGCTGATCATCTGCCTAATAGCGCCCATCTGTTAGGTACGCAGGACTGATTGCACTAATTGGTCACCTACACGTTGCGTCACGGATACTAACCCTCTGATTGGCAACCACCCCGCTGCGCAAACAACACTGCCGCCGTGATTGGCCGCCACCCTCCTGCTCAAGCAGCACTGACGGCGCCAATTGGCCGACAGATGCCCGCGGCGGAGTGGGCGGGTGGCGAGCGACTACGGACGGAGCTGGAGGCCGTGCAGCGGAAGCTGGCGGCCAGCGAGGCGCAGCTGGCCAGCGCGCAGCGCGAGCGGGGTCGGCTCCAGCAGCAGGTCAGCCGACCAGCCGCTCGAATGCACGCTCAGGCGCTAGCGTTGTAGAGAAGGCTAACCACGGCAATGAATCGTACAAACCATTGCTAGCTGCCGCTGGTTAGCAGCGGTGCGAAGTTTGTGGACGGCGGTTTAGCCAGCAAAGGAACAGTCGACGAACCGGAGCATGAGATTTGGTTTTATTCTCGCTTACTGCGACGAGCAGCGTGGGGAGATCGGCGTTGTCAAGCTCGGTCAGATGTTCCACCATTAGGAGCCAAAGCTTGCGATGAGCTCAGCGGGTTCTTAATCTGTGTCTGGTGTTGTCCATCCTGGCCAACTAGGCTGCTGAAGTTCAGTAAGTTCGACGCCAGACTGACCGCCAGGACGGTCGTCCACGGTGCGCACCGCCTGTGATCTGCATCGTGCGCGTAGGCATAGCACCGTGGCATAGCACTAAACTCGCTCTTCAGGTGAGGCTAATGGAGCGCAAGCCGGCCGTCGTGAGGGACATCGTGGACCCTGGTCAGCTGGAGGACGGCATGAAGATGCCGACACGGGAGACGAAGCTGCAGAGCCTGATCGCCTCGTCACGTGCCTCCGGCAGCGCTCCGGCACAGCATCAGGTGAGGAGTCCCAGCAACACGGCGGCTAGCCGGGTCAGCAAAACCATGGCCCATTAGCAAGCCCGCCAACGATACCGATGATAGCTGCATGGTTGAAAGCACCAACGACAAAGTGTGTTACAGTTGTTTCTTATTCGCAGTCGCCTACATCGTCTGCACCTGAACTGTAGCGGCTACTCGCGATGCCACCCCAGCCCCTGGCGTGGCCCGATACAGCGTGGTGACCCTTGTGCCCTTCCCCAGGCGCCGGAGTGGTCACATCAGCGGCCCCCACCGACCAGCGGCCGAGCAGAGGAGCCGGGCCGCGGCTCGCTGAGGAAGGCATCGTCCAGCGGCCAGCTGCAGCAGGGAGGGGCGACACCACAGCTACAGCTGCAGAGGGGGGCATCCAGCGGGCAGCTGCAGAGGAGAGGAGCCGGCGGGCAGCTGCAGAAGGGAGCGGCTGACGGACAGCTGCAGAGGGGACGGACAGGTGGACAGCTGCTGCCAAAACGGGAGGTTGCCGCCGTCAGCGAGGAACGACTGGATGAAGATGCGCTGTCGGAGCAGGAGCAGGAGCGGGAGCTTTTAGGACAGGAACAGGAGCAGGAGCCGGAGCAGGAGCAGGAGCAGGAGCAGAAGCAGCAACGGGAGCCTGGGTCAGCGGAGGAACAGGAAACTGACGTGAAGTCAGAAAAAGAGATGGAGATAACGCCAAACAAAGAGCGGGAGCAAAAGCCAACGCCAGAGCAGGTGCCGAAGTCGGAGCGGACAAACGAGCCGACGGCAAGCGAGGAACAGGAGCTGAACACACCAAACCAGCCGCAGAAAAATGACGCGGAGCCAAAGCCGGAACAGGAGCCGGAGCGAGAAGACAAGCCGAAGAACGGCGACGTCGAAAGCGCCCCGGACAGGGCAAAGCCCGGCCAGCCCAGCTCCAAGCCCGATGCCGAGACAGGCGACGTCGACCGGGACGAGACGGAGCCGGACGGACACGGCCCCGGGCAGCAGGGGGCGGACCGGGCGGCCTCGGGCGCTGGGCAGCCTCCAGAGGTCGGCGCCAGCCAACAGGACAGCTCGTAGCACGACGAAGAAGGAGCGGAGGAGGCAAAGGGCGCGGGAAGGCGATCCGAGACGCCCCGGGTAACTGGCGGGTCACTGGCTAGTCACTGGCGGGTCACCGTCAGGTCACTGGCTGGTCACTGGCGCGTCACTGGCGCGTCAGTCACGCCACTGTGGGTCACTTGGCTCGGAGCGACACCCTACCGTTGCGTGGCGATGCGTGTCACCTTGGTATGTGCAACAGTGCCGTTTAGTTCCGTTCCTTCACGAATCGTTCCAACGCGTGTATTATTGTCCGATTCGAGCCAGCTTGACAGGGCACTGGTGGAGCCGCGTCAAGAGACATGTGATGACAAGAGACGATATATGACAGCCAACCGCTGTCAGGTCACCGCATGCCAGCTGGTAGGCGGAACGCTGGGTCATCCTGGAGTCCCTGCATACCGCTGCGCTCAGTTCCCGCAGACTCGCAGAAGTCACCGCGTTTCCGTGTGACGCCATCGCGTCTCCGTTTGACGCCATCGCGTCTCCGTATGAGGTCATCACGTCTCCGTCTGAGGTCATCGGGTCTCCGCGTGAGGTCACCACGTCTCCGTGTGAGGTCAACGCGTCTCCGTGTGAGTCATCGCGTCGTCGCCACCGCGGACGAGTCCATCCCCCCTCCCTCCCCCGCCGCCTTCTAGTACCGTGATGGCAGACTGGTCAAACAACGCTGTGTGAACATTGGGGTCGGCCTGGTAATGACTAATGTGGGGTGCGAGCGACCCGGTCCGTGGCGACAGGATCCGCCTGTGCAGGAGATGTTCCACAGCTGTGCACTGCCGTCAAATACATGCTGCACCACTGTCTGTTTGGAGTGCGACCGTGCAGATTTGCGACAGGAGTTTCGCCGGTGGAAGAATCACCGTCGCCTACGTAGCGCACTAGGCAACCGAGTACGTTGGTAGAGGAGGGGGAAGAGGCGATAGTGCCAGTTGCATGCGCAAAAGATACGAGCAAATGCAAAAAGGAAGAGGAGCTCCTGACGTGGCACCCCCGATATGACGTACACGTGACTCTGAAGCGCATGACAGCCCGTTCATGCACGCCGAGTCCACCAGAAAAACATTCTGACACTTCGACCATCAGAGTGGCTAACCTGGCGTGCCTTGGTCAGCGTGTCATCAGAGTGACTAACCTGGCGTGCGTTGGTCAGTGTGCAATCAGTGACCAACCTGGCGTCCCTTAGTCAGCGTGTCATCAGATTGACTAACCCGGCGTTCCTTAGTCAGCGTGTCATCAGATTGGCTAACCTGGCAGGCCTTGGTCAGTGTGTATTCAGATTGACTAACCCGGCGTTCCTTAGTCAGCGTGTCATCATACTGGCTAACCTGGCATGCCTTGGTCAGGGTGCTGTCAGAGTGACTAACCTGGTGTGCCTTGGCCGGGGTGCTGCCAGAGTGACCAACCTGGCATGCCTTGGTCAGGGTGCTGTCAGAGTGACTAACCTGGCATGCCTTGGTCAGTGTGCTGTCAGAGTGACTAACCTGGCATGCCTTGGTCAGTGTGCTGTCAGGGTGGCTAACCTGGCATGCCTTGGTCAGTGTGCCGTCAGAGTGACTAACCTGGCGTGCCTTGGTCAGTGTGCTGTCAGAGTGACTAACCTGGCGTGCCTTGGTCAGTGTGCAGTCAGGGTGACTAACCTGGCATGCCTTGGTCAGTGTGCTGCCAGAGTGACTAACCTGGCGTGCCTTGGTCAGTGTGCTGTCAGAGTGACTAACCTGGCGTGCCTTGGTCAGTGTGCTGTCAGAGTGACTAACCTGGCATGCCTTGGTCAGTGTGCCAGTCCGAGTAATTAACCTGGCACGCCTTGGTCAGTGTGCAGTCAGAGTGACTAACCTGGTGTGCCTTGGTCAGTGTGCCGCCAGTGACTAATCTGGCGTGCCTTGGTCAGTGTGCTGTCAGAGTGACTAACCTGGTGTGCCTTGGTCAGCATGCCGCCAGAGTGACTAATCTGGCGTGCCTTGGTCAGTGCGCCATCAGTGACTCACCTGGCGTGCCTTGGTCAGCGTGCCATCCACATCAAAAAGAAGAAGGGTGGGTTTCCGGGGAGCCATCCTGATCTGGAACAAAGCATTACATCTCATCTCAGACCACAGCAAGCCTCCCTGAAAGGAGCAAGCACAGGATCTCACACATGGGAGAGGGCAATACCAAATTTTTTCACTTCAAACAACCTTAGCACAAAAGGTGTCATTTATTCTATAGTATGTAGTATGACAGAAACCTTGGCTTGGTCAACTGATTTGTATGTATTTGCATTGATTTCACTACCTTAAAATGTAAGCTGCAAGGTACTGATCTGTACAAAGGCAAAGGAAAGCTAAGGAAAATATGGGTTACCTGATTAGAGCAGCATTTTGGTCTGTGGTGGTACACCAAACAGCATTAATGAAAATGCTCTACAAAGATATCTAAGCAAGCATTAGACATAATAAAATAAGCTCACTTATGGTCATCTTTATCCCTTCAGGTGGAAAAGACTGCTCTAGACAGCACAGTTTCTCTTAGTTAATGAACATGCTCCTCAACATGACATTGACCATGTCACCATACCTTGCACAACATAGTTTGAGAACCAGCTGGCCATATTGTGGAAATGGATTGCCAGACAAGGATGACTGAACAATAATATTTTCATTGGCCTTGATCATCACAAGGCATGCAGGATGACAATTTGAATAATTATATTATGACATCATGGATGCCTGGGTGACCTTGGTACAGTCTGCACATCTTTGCAGGTGTAGAGTTTGGAAAGCAGAAGGGCTTAGGTCTTAAGGGCAGGCCTGGGAACTATATCAGTTGACCTTCAAAAGTGAATATTTCAGATAAAAACCCCATACAAATGTGGGACACACCCTTTGGGCTCAATGGTGCCTACCTAATCAACAACAAAGTGATCACAAGATAATACACATGTGTGACACTTAGCATAGCTAATAACTCCTTTCAAGAGTTCAGCTAATACAATAAAATTAAGCCATTTGTCGTGCAAACTAGGTCCAGTAAGTCAGAATTTAAAGGCAATTGCGGCATGCTAAACACCTCTGATCACACCCCACAAACATATCAAAGGAAATGCTTGAGGCATGCCAAAGCAAACTGCTAAAGCATTCCACATTTTAATGTACATAAATGAGATATTCTGGCACTCAATGTCAAACATTTCACACCAGACACAACATATGCATCCCACTTTGACAGATAGCCATTTGATGGCAAGTTCCTTTTCCTCGCACTTCAAACACAAATGCAGGAAGCTTTGTATCCTCTAGCATACCCTAAAAGCAGCTTTTCAGCTAAAAACTTACTATTGGCCCGGCTGTCGCGCTGGCTGAGAACCTTACGATCCTCTTGATCACCTCTTGTTTCTGAGAGTTACAGAGATTATAGACGTTGCGGGAGCAACGAACTGAGCACCACACGACCTGCCTTCGACGAAATGAGTAACGACGCTGACATGCACGGCACTCGCCACGAAACCTGTTGAGCCGGCTTAGCCAACAATGCTTACGAAATGTTACGTGGAGATCGGAGGGCTTACGACTCGGCCTTCGGACCCAAATAATTACTTGACAACATGAATCTTGCTGCTTTCATATCCGAAAACCTACAATGATTTTTCCTGCTTCAAAAACCGGCAGTTTTCGGCCATTTCTGGCGCATCTCTGACATTTCTGGTACGACACGAAGGAAGGCAAGATCGAAGCTAGGGACATCTAGGGCAGGATGGCTGCACCAATGCTGCATAGACGGCACTAGTAGCGCAAAACGCTAGCATATCCGATCTATCTGTTTAGCATGGTTTAACACGGGTGTGGATTTACATTCTTGTAGGGGCTCCTGATGTTGAATTGGGCCGCCCCGATGCTGGCCTGCGTCCCCAATATCTTTTGACAGGGATGTTCCAAAAGCGTAAGAAAAAGCTGGTCATCACACAAAGACCAGCCTCTAAATTATTTCCTCCAATTGGGGATACTTAAGATCTCAGCTGGCGAGCCATTTCACCTTTGGCGATTGTTTGTTTTGTCTGTTAAACGTAAGCCCAGACGCTTGTTCTCCAAACAGTATGAACATGTATTGATTATAAACACATGAAACACATGATTATAAACACACTCCAAACAATATGAACATGTTCATTAATAATAAACAATATTGAACATGAAAACATACTTAATGAAGCGAACACGCAGGCGTCCCGTAGTGAAGTGCCTGATTGGTCCGGCGGCCGGCCCGGCCTCGCCTCTCATAGCCCGCGGCAGGGACGGCCGGCCGAAGTCCGTCGAGCAGAGGCGGCGCCAGGCACCGGGCTATTGCATCTCTCCACCTCGGATTCTTGCGAAAAGCTCATAAGGCGTCTGGGCAAAACACGAAGAAGACAAATGAACAAGGCACCCAGCTTCCACAAACATACGCGGCGTGCGAGCCGGTGCAATGCAATATCAAACACTTATGAACGCTGCGACGAAACATTTCGCGCTGCCGCAGGTCATAACGCGATACACACGGGAGATCGCCTAACGTTGTTCGCACGTGCACCGGAGCACGGTCGCTTCTCGGTCCGACTGACTGGCAATGCGTGGTGGTACCTCAACTTCAGTTATGTCTAGACGAGGACGCACGTGGTCCAAGTGCCTACAGATGAATAAATAATGCCTACCTCCCATCCCGCAATTTAACACTAGTTATACTCCACTACAACGCCCGCAAGCCATATATCCCAATCCGCAGCTCCTACACGATCCACTGCCGACACATACACTGCATCTTCTGCCCGCACACACCACCTCTTAGAACCACGATCTGCATATTGTCCCTGCTTGTCCTGATTTTTCCCCACCCTGTCCCCACATCAAGTTTTAAAACGTCCGGAGGTGTGCACACCGATCTACCCAGAGACAGCTCAGCCTTGGCAACGCACTGTGTGCTGTGCGGCGTAGCACGGTGGCGAAAAAGGAAACGTGCTAGTTTGGTGTGGACGCCACCAGCGGTCTGTTTCCGCAAAGTCGTTTCGAACGTTTGGACTCTGCACTCTGCCAAAAACTATTTGACTTTGTTCACAGCGCCGCCGATGTTAGATGTACTATTCCGTTCGTCCGACAGAATGTCTGAAAAGCTTTGGACATGAAACACTGTGCATTGTCTGACACAGGCCTTTGGGCTGCCCCCAGCAAGCAAATGAAGTGCGCAAATGTTCGACTGTGACCTCTCATGTACATGTACCGGAAGGATAAATATCGAAGCACTTGGAATGTGCGTCAGCTACGGTAAAAACATCCAGCCATCGACTAGACCACAACAATCAACATGAACGCGCCACCAGCGTTATGCGGGCCAAACCCAGGAGCGCAAAGGGAACTCAGGCACGCTAGTGCATCTAGGGGTGCAAAGGGATCTCGGGCACGCTACTGCACCTGGGGTTGCAAAGGGAACTCGGGCACGCTACTGCAGCTGGGGGTGCAAAGGGAACTCGGGCACGCTACTGCGATAAGCCTGACAGTTTCCGTATCCCTGCGAAATGCTCGTGATGGCATCAACATTAAGCCATCAGACGTACCTACGAACGAGCGACTTTGTGCGAGTTTCGCCGCAATGTCCGTCACGGAACAGTTTCAGCATTTTCTCCCTTCCCTGAGGTGAGAAAACCACGCAACATCCCCACAGGAGATAGCCATGCTCGACACTCAGCTCAGACAACCGATATTTATGCGGCCGAAAAGACGGCAACAGCGCATCGCTGGCTGTCTCTGACATATTGCATCACAACTGACTACAGAATCACGAGAAGTCAGTTGGCGAGTCTAATCTGCTGAAAATGGAGAAGCATCCAGGAAATCCATCAGATGGATTGTTCCAGCGGACGCAGGGCTCGATGGACTAGCCACTACTGGCAAAGGAAGCCCGCTGAGCGCATCGCAGGGCGCCTGCTTGACCTCGGGGACGAACTCCAAGTGATGGTCATACGCGCCAGCACCAGGGCCCACCGAATCCAGGGGCTCGGTGCGATCATTCCTACCTCTGCGATCACTGCTAAACCTTCTCTGTTGGCCTGAGAATAGCGTTTCTGGGTTGGATTCTGCGAACTCAAATAACAAGCTGCCGGTCGTTCCCCTGCCTCGTTTGCTGGTTGAGAACACAGCCCAGCCGGGCTGGGCTAGCGTCACAAGGCAAAATCCCTGGCAGCTTCGGATCAAAATGCGTCAGGACGGGGGCTTTCTTGAGAAGACGCTCTGCGGCCACAAAGGCCCTCCGCTTCGCAGGCGTCCACTGTCACGGCTGATTTTTCCGAAGCAAAACGTGCAAAGGTGAGAGCGTGGTCGTAATCTGTGCAAAAATTTGCCACAGTAGTTTATATCCGCCCACCTGCAATGAAGTTTGGAGTCATCTCCTGACTCTAGAACACACGTGATGGCCTTACCAGCCGTGGTTGCCACACCTCTCCCACGAACTTTGTGAGCCAAGCATGTCAGACGTTCTATCCCAAAGTAGCATTTTTCCATGTTTGTCTTAAGACCTGCAATACTCAGCCGGCGCGGAGCCTGACGCAGCGCCACATCGTGACTATCCAGCGTCTTGCCCGCTACACCACATCATCCAAGAACACGCAGACATGCCTGCCAACAGCGTGTCTCTGGTTCTTTTAAATAGAGACACGCTGAGGTGCAGCCGAAACGTAGGCGTGTGGGCTGCAGCGGCCCTTTCAACGTGTTCACCGTCAAGTACTCTCGCAAGTTTGCATCCAAAGCCACCTGATTATGAGCGGACTTGGGCACGCACTTGTGTGGGGTGGGGGGCTCAAATTACCCCCCCCCCCAGAAAGTTTTTCTGTAATGGTTTCCGAGTGGCGGCGTAGCCGCGCCAAATTTGCATTGTTGTAGATAATTAAATAATGGATCGTTTGATGTAAAACATTGAAATGTACCTTGTAATGTCACTGAGCTATGGCAGGTCAACGTCGGACCATGGTTTCAGCGAAGGTACCTTCTAGGAAATCGTTCAAGCTGACGCAACGTAGGAGTGTTTGTCGAAGCCGTACATCTCTGAGATGCTTTCTTAGGCAACACAAATATTGAATGAGCAAATTACGTTGACCTAAGGTCAGGTATGAACGTGAGGCCAAGATCAAAACAAAGCTGTTTTATTACTCGAGGGCTGGCTGTATGGAATAGATTTTGGTGCTCATTTCGAATTTATTGATGGCAGGAATCGCATTATACATCTTTCATTGACTTCTTAGAGGTCAGAATAGTTAATTGACCTGAAATGAGCAATGTCGATATTTTGTTTTTAGGAACATACTGCCTAGCGTAATCTTTGTTGCTTATTCAAATGCAAAACTCAAAACAGTCCTGCATTTTTTTGGCCGCCATGACCATCAAAAGGTCAGACAAGGTCACTGACCTTAAATGAGCTTGTGACCTTTCACTTAAAAACAGTTATCTATGTTCTGGGGCTCTTTGGAGACTAATCTGAAATTTGACCTTGTTTGACCTTATTTGACCTGAATGCCATAACCTAGGAAGTTCAAACTTTGCCCTATGTGAGTTCACGTACAGATCAATACATTCTGCAAATTTTTTTATGTCTAGCTTTCTCAGTTTCCGCGATCTCAGGGTATCAAATTGACCCCCCCCCCCCCCCCCCCGTCCCATCCGAGCGAAGGACATCTAGCCCACCACCCGGGCGCGTGTTAAATCAGTCTAAGAGAACAATTGTTACCAGCTAAGTCGGACAGCAGCTCCTCGACACATGATAGCGAATACTGCTCAATTTTGGCGACATTTTTCGCGGTGAGCCTACAGTCGCCACACAAACGAATCTCACCCTCGGGCTTCGGTACAACTAAAGGAGCCGCCCACTTACTCTGCTCGACGGGCTCCCATGTTGGATCAGATAGTCCAACTCCGCTTCCACTTGGTCGCGATAATCCGGTAGGACACTGCGAGCCTTGAAGAACCTCGGTTTTATGTCCGGGTGCACAGAGATGTTTACCACCGCTCCCTGGTAACGGCCTAAAGGGCTGCTGAGAACTTCTGGAAGCTCGATGGAGGCGCTCTTGGTCTGACATTCACTTGTCGCACGACGCGTGAAGGGCCAATCCAGCATCAAATGCGGCAGCCAGTTACGTCCAAACAAAAACGGACTCTCGCCTATGACCACAACCAACGACACCTGTGCACACTGCTCCACATAACAGAAATCCACTATCGCTTGGCCGCGCAACGGTTTCCCGCTATACGTTTTGAGAGCTGCGTCACGGGGCTTAATGTCGGCCCATTCACCGGCCATACGCGCGAAAACTCCAGGTCATAGCAGACAGCGCTGTCCCCGTGTCCAACTCCATCTGCATAGGTTGGCGACCAAATATCTCGTCAGCTATCAGAGGCGGTTTACGATCATCGCCATCATTTGGACTGGATTAATAGATGGATCAAAGCATGCGAAACCCATGCCACATTGGTATCAGCAGATACAAACGAAAATATTGAACACCTCTAGCATCTTCATTTAGCTTTATATACTATATGGCGACAATTAAAAACG